GACATATCTCGAACAGCAAAACTCAGATCTCCTGGCAGAGATTTTTGTCTTTGAAGATAGCTATCAATGGAAGAGAGATTCGCAGGTTGATATGATGCATAACTTTCGGTGAGCACGCCCATCAAGGCAAGTCGTAATTCAGAGCTCGCTGGTGGCCATGTATCTCTGCCGCCGAGTCGTAAGCCCATGGTTCCACCAGATAAAGCCACTCCCTTTTGTCTCTCGGCACTTTCTAATTCCGGGTCAAATAGTGCATGAGAGAGTCGACTTGAGAAAACACCGTTTCCCAACAGATGAAAGTCTCTTTGAAGTGATAGATGATCTCGTAACTTATGAGACTTGAAGAATAGTTGCATGCAAACACCATTGACCACTCTAGCTTGCGCAGAAATGATTGGATTGAATGAGAGTATAGGGGCCAGCGAAATGGGCGGGGAGAATATTGATTTATCCACTCGCGAAGACTCCGGAGCCGATGAAAGACAATCCTGCAAAAGACGTTTAAACTTAACAGGAGTTAGTGGCTCCTTTAATTTTGAGTCCAATCGATTGATGGAAGCTACAACACGAGTTTGAATCTCTTCTTCGGGTCGGCCGAAGAAATCCATATCAAAATTGTAAAGCTCAAACCTGGACTCGGTTGCTGTGGGTTCCTCCGTCGTTGAATGATCTCCCGAGAACTTTTGGAGCGCGGCTGTCAAATCCTGTTCGTATCTCAAGGCTTTAGTCTCTACATCCAGTATGTCCTGCCAAGAATACCTCCATTCAAGAACTGGTGGTGCAACTGACTCCACAACCTCCATTTTCGACAAAGGATGGTCTATATGGTGAGTACGTAAAATTCGAAGGCTCCTGCCCACTTCAAACATTATCCTGGCATCTTCAAGTGGCATGAACGAAGGAACATTTTCAAGGTCCAATATAAAGTCAGGTTCATTCAATTCGAGACCAGCTTCATCCACCCATTCTTTGTTGTCGACCCTCACAAAGCTCTTCCCAGAACCATCCTTGGTCAGCGGTACGCCATCTTCTCTTTGTAACCCAAGCCATTCACCTGTGAATTTAAGCCAAGGTATTGATACCCTCGAGAGCATTTCAAGAAGAATGTCTCGGAGAGAGTCTGTCCTATGTTCTAGAAGTTGGATCTCTTCAAAAAGCGTTGACAGTATTGCTTCATCACTTTTCTTTGGCAATGTATTCGTCACCAATCGTTTGAAACATGTAAGAACTGAGTGAATGGGCTGAAACAATGCTTGCAGTTGTAAGATGCTCTCATAATCAGAAGCGCTTACATTCAGCTGTGACTGGATTGTTGCAAGAACAGTTGAAATGGACTCCGCCATAGCAATTCGACCTGGTGACTTGTTTGATGAATAGGTCTTTTCGACAAAGTCTTGAAGAAATCTGGTAATATTTCCGCACTCATAAAAAGGAGCCAAAAAACCGGTCAGAGATTGTGCAGTGTGACCAGAGACTCGGAAATTCTGAAGGGTCGCATAAAATGATCGCTTCTCTACATCCCACGCGAAGAAGGTCGAATTTCTACCTAGTCCCAGTGCGAGGACTGAGGTGGCAAAGATCTTCGAATCCACTACACGATGAACAGTATTTCCAGCGTTCAAAAAATCGTCTTCGGCAGCTAATGCGGTATCAAGTACTCGAGCTCCAGCTTCGGTCAAATACGCCGTTTGAGGTTCATTAAATTGGTCGTTAGTAAAGGAATCCCAGGTTTGATAGTTCACAGGCTCCTGTAAAGGCTCTCGCTCCTGTACCATCCAAATATCGAAGTCTTCAACTTCCTCGGGCCCTACCCGTTCGTTGCAAGATGTGTCGCCAAGAGGTTCATCAGATTGAGATGGAGGAACAATTGGCTCTGCTGGGCCTATGGGTAGTTCCGGTATACCAAAGAACAATTCATCATGTTGACATTGCTCTGCAACGTCTGGTAGTTTAAAGTCAATGACTGTAAATAATTAGCACAGTATATTTGTTTACTTCACGCAAATAATTGGAACGAACCAGGGAGTCTAAGATCTGAGAAAAGACTATTTGGTTGTACTACATCATCAACACATCTAGATAGACCCCAAAGGTCTGGAATTGCAAACACATCCCCCGGATCCTTTTCGTCATCCATTTTCATCATCTCAACTGAGATATGAATGTACTGTGCTCGCAGGCGGGGGTTGTGGATGTTTGACGCGCTCCAACGCGTCTGCGGGTTTTGCGGACGTTAAAACCCGCTAGCGTATTTATTGCAAAAGGCTGATGGTGAGGCTGAACTTAGTTGCAATTTGATGTCATCCTTCAATTCATCATTTGGCAATAAAGATAATACCGCCAAAATGCCACCGAAAAAGAAGAAAGGAAGCACACGAGCTGCTTCGACGCCCGTTGAAGATCAAGATGCCATGGCAATTGATACTCCCAAAAAGGCCGAACCACTAAAACCAAGCTACAATATCTTGAAAGACCCATGGACGGATGAACAAGAAACCTCATTGTTCAAAGGTATTGTCAAGTGGAAACCAGCGGGTAGGTCGATAATCATTCTTCAATGTATGGTTTAGCAGATCGGATGGACTAATCATTGAACCCAGGTATGCACAAACACTTTCGCATGATTGCACTTTCAGAACATCTACGGAATCACGGTTATGATCCTCGTGTTGAACGGCATACTCGGATCCCTGGCATATGGGAGAAGTTACGAACCTGTTACAATTTGGATGTAATCGATGATCGCGAAAATTCATTCGATTACGAAGAGGATACCGAAGATCGGTTTCCCGAGTTTACATTGCCCGACGAGGAATATGGAGAGATGTGTTTCATGCGAGGGAAACGAACGAATGAAGAATTAAGTGAAGCACCTTCATCACCTTCAAGATTGATGGAAACTCCGGAGCCAAAGGAGTCACCAGAGCCCGAGGTTCATGGAACCACCAGAAAAAGGAAGAGGGGAAAAGAGAGAGCAAGTACTGTCGATACAACGGAGACGAGAACGTCACCACCTGCACAAAGTTCGCCACCAAAATCTACCAGAGCGGGAAGGAGTGCCAATAGAGCTGCGGGAAAGGCAAAAGCAGAATCGAGTTCGAGGCAGCAAAGTGTTGCAACCGTTACAACCGTGGAAGATGGAGCCGAGGACGACGAAGAAATCGATGAAGGCCTCGAGGGAACACCGACGAGACCTAGAGGAGCGGATACGAAGAGATCTAGGGCACAGTCCTCCAATAGGAAAAGCAAAAGGAAGAGATAATGTATGCGTAATTGTGTATATCTGTATTGTACTAAGACATGATTATGAGGAGCGAGGCGTTCTTTTGGTGGTTGCTTATATCTGTACATAGTGGTTCTTGTATCATATGGCGTATGGCTTCATAGCATGAGATAGAGATCGAACTGGATGTTTTAGTAGCACTTTTACCAGAAACATGACTGGTATGAAGAAGTACCTACTAGGTACCCTGTTAAAAGTGGCTGGTTTTGTACTGTAGAACAAAAAGCGGAAACATCTTAAAAAGCCTCGAGAGAGCTTCTGCTCGGTTTAAAGGAGATGTGAGTACGAGGCGAAGCATATATGAGCCGTTTCTATAGGTTTATCAAATTCTCAAAACCCCATATCACGATCACAACTAGATCTATTACACAGCCACAAATTTCATTGGTTTTTGTCTGCCAAATGTTGAGCCACCTTCGAAAGCCACCCGACTCCCGAGGTCACCAATAGAACTTCACCAATTTCTAAAAACCTTAAAACCCCGGCATGAATTCGCCGCCAAGACTTGCCGAAGCTCCAAAGCTCAAGATTCCTAAACGTCACGATTTATCTCAAGATAACGACTATTGACAGTTTAATACACCCATTGAAGTTGCCCAATATGCGTCGCACATTACGGCAATTTGCAGCTGTTAAGCCTGCCAGATATCTCGAGGCCAACACACCTACTGGTCTCACTGGCCTCCATACTCATCCCTCGCCCCGCTCCGCTCTACTCTACCTCTACGCCTCTACCCTCGACAAATTGAAAGAATTCCCCTCCACATCTCTGTACCGCCAATCCACCGAGGCCCTTACAAACCACCGTCTAAAAATCGTACAATCTGTTGTGCCAGCTGGATACGATGAATGGGCAGCGAAGGCGAAAGAAACTCTTGCTGCGCATCCAGAAGTTTTCACTACCCCAGAGGGTGGCATACACTTTGATCAAGGGAAAAATAAGAAACTGAATGCCGGAGGCAAGGTCTTCGTACAGTCGGAAATTGAAAAGGAGGTTGATTGGAGTAAGGAGGAGTGGGACGGAGAGGAAGGGAGTGCAGAGTTGGAGGGTGTGAGGACGACACAGGAAAGAAAGGGACAAAGTGTTTTGGCTAAAGAGAGACCTGGTGAGGATGAAAAACAGGTCATCTGGGAGAATGAGCCTGCGTTGAATGTCGATCAGTGAGTTTGATTTTTCTGCTTAAAATGAGATGTGGACGTACTGACATGCGCTGTTAGAATCGAGGAAATCGAGAATAAGATTGGCGCTGGATTGATCGAGGAGGTCATTCAGGTCGCCGAGGGCGAATTAACCCTCACTAATGTCTTATTGAAGGCCAAAGTGTAAGTGAAACATCACAGCGTCTTTCGATTCTTCGTGACTAATTGAAAATTGTAGATGGGAGGATCTCGAGGAGAAGCCTGTCGAGGGGCAATGGACATATTTCATGCGCGATAGTGGTACCCCAACTACCCAACAACCACCTCAAAAGTAATGCTCTACCTAAAGGTTCGGAACCAAAGAATGTATAGTAGAGTCTGTACATAGAATAAATACATGCAATGAAGATCGTCCAATAGAACTTTACCCTTTTGTAATGACGAAACCATAACCACATCTGCAAGTGCAGGCACGTATTCAACCATTGATGTCCTAGCTTCTCAAATTTACATGGACATAGCATGCATCACTACATTCTCAAATTTACGAGCATTCAGTCATCTCATCGATGCCCCTTCAAACACTCGACGATGAACTACTTCCACCACTCCGTTTCTTCACCTGTATCCCCGGCTTCACACCAACAATGGTTCCCAAGGCTCTCACCCACCCCAACTCCTCATTAGGCTTTGCTGCTCCCCCAATTCTACCACGGCCGCTTGTTCCGTGTCCATGTCTGTCGCTCATACCCGTTTGTCTTCTGTGAACTTTTGGTGGCTGTTCTTCTATTATGACGACAGTATCAGATCCTCGTCTTCCAGATGCCGGTGGCGGTGGAGGAGGCCCAAGTCGTATCGGTACCGACTTCTGTTTATTGCGGGATTTCGAGTGACGTGCTGCCATCCAGCCCATAGTTTCAGTCTGCGTAGATTTCTTCATTCTCGGAGTAGGTCCACTCATCAAGCCACCAGGCTGGGTTGCTGTAAATCCAGGTGGCGGTGGAGGTGGTGGAAAGTTACCGGGATGTCCTGGCCTAGGAGGCATAGACGCGGGTGCTTGCCTTCGCGGCTCCGGCATTGGCCACATGTGCATGGTTATCAACCAGCCAGGCTCAATAACTGATTCCCATACTTGAGGGAGGATAATTTCGCCGGTGGGGCCAAGGAGATCGTAGTGACCATCATTGACGTGAGGACCAATGATATCGACATGAAGGAAGGCTTGTTTCACTAAGTCTTCCATTCCCTAAGATGGTAGTAGTCAGCGAGGAATCATGCAAGTGTAAGAAACAATGAGGATTAATTGGAAAAAAAAAGAAGAAAAAAAGGCATACAGCCCATGTGGACACTAAATGAAACGGAAACGTGAATTTCCTTCCCACAGCATCCTTGAACTTTATCGCTGGTTTTACTCCCTTGTCATCGGATGCCACGGGGGAGTAAGCTCGATCTTTTCCCTTGGCAGCTTTACTTTCTGCAGCTTTTTTCTTGTATTCCTCTTCGGCTATTTTTCTCGCATACTCCTCTTCCGCTCGCCTCTTTGCATATTCTTCCTCTGCTCGCCTCTTTGCATGTTTCTCTTCCATCTCCGCCATCCTCTTATGACGTTCTTTTTGCCTCAACTTCTCAAGGTATTCGAGTTTCTCTCTCTCTAGTTTCGTTCTAATGTGTTCCTCCTCTGATAGTTCTTCTGGTGACGGTGGCAATGGTATCTTAGTAGGATCAGTGTTTGGAGTTAGCCGCCTTGGGTAATCATAATAAGCCCCATGATGGGACTGTCGTATTCTAGATCGTCTTCGTGGTCTTCCTCGGTCTTCCGAAACATCATCATCATTCTTTACGATATCATCTGTCGCACGTTTTATTTCCTGCTCTTCGACAAGCTTTTCAGTCGTTCTGTCGATTCCATGTTTTCTCTCCTCAGACGTTACAGAATGCTCGGACCGGCGCCGGCGACGTAAAATGATCTCTCCCTCAATAATGCGCTCGTATTCATCTCCACTGCCTGGATATTCTCTGCTTCTCCTTCTGGTCAGTTGCCAGTCGTTATTTTCTCTCATGCGTCTTTCTAAAGAAAGACGTTCACGATCCGTGGCATAATCCGAGTCTGCATGACCTGGAGATGCAGATCGTTCAGGGCGCATCCCCTCAGAACTGTCTTGCTCCCGCCAGTCATCCGAATCTGAATCCAATGGAGGTAGTGGTATCTCTGCAGGGTCTGGTGTAGATGGAGGATTGGCTGGATGCGAATGGTCTGGGATATTGAAGTCATCATTCAGACTTGCCGTCTTGCGCTTGCCCTTCTTGCCTTTTTTGGCTTTCTTTAAAGGAGTTCCCCAAGATCCCCAGCTTAGCTCAGAGACTATTGGTTCAGGGATAATTTGGTCAAGATCGGGCGACGGAAGGCTAATTGGGGGTGTTTCTGGCGGTGCTGGTCCGGCGGTTGGAGAGTGATCGGAAGCAAGAGATCCTGGAGGATTATTTCCAACAGGAATGGGTCTCACCGGTGTAATTTTTGGTGAAGATGGAATAGGAAGAAATTTAGATGGCGGAGAAGGTGAAAGGGGCGCAGAAGGTGAAGATACACTGTGATCCGAATGTGTAGGAGAAGACAGGACGTTCTCCGGATCTGAATTTCGATCCAGAGGTCTCCGTCTCCAAAATCGCCAACTCCTCAATCTTGGCACCCTTTTCTTTTTCTTGCGAACTAATAAATCTCCATCTATGGACAGACCTGGAGGCAGCCGAGCACTGCTTGTAGAGGATGAACCATCATCGCTATCGCTGTCGCTATCTGTATAGCCAACACTGGAGGAAGAACCAGCTCTGCGTGGATTCCAAATATCAGGAATACGCGATCTAAGACGTTCTTTGATGCCTGCTTTGTATGAAATGATCTCACTGCCGGAAATTGACGAGGTAACCATATCATCAGCTTCTACCGTCACTGCAGCAGACCCATACTGTTGAGCGAATTGCTCCAAGGTCATTCGCCTAATACTATCCGCATATATTAAAACTGTTGTAAGCATACATACTGGAATAGCAATGACCCAAAATATGAAGAACTGATCTCCACCCGGCTGAAAATTCCCACCCATCGAAAATATTGCCGCGATTATGGAGAACGGGAGCAACACACCGCCAAGATAGGTCACTCTGTTGATGCTTTGGCGGGTTTCCAGATCTAAGGCTTCTCCTCCACGAATATGCACTCCCGACTTAGAAGAAGCCGTGGAAGTGGTATCGTCGTCATCCTCATTGTTGCTCCCACTTTCAGTTTTGCCCTTCGTCTCAAGACCCTCCTCCAAAATTTGTCCCCATACAAGTAATTCTGCATGACGCTTTGCTTTCTCCAAAAGTCTTTTGAATCCTTCCATCCTAACGACATAACGAGGGCTCCGGGAAGCCTCAGTACGATCCAAAGTCCAAATATTAGACTCTATTAGATCACATACTTGATGTATTCCGTGATAGGGAATCGATCTAGATGCACATGCATGTTCAATTACTTCGCCCAAGGCAAATTTCCATTGTCCGAGTACGGTATCAGCAAGTATCTCTGTGAGGTTATCCCAAATCAGGATACTACCTGGAGATTCTATAGAATTGAAAATCTCGTCTGCTAGAGTCAAAGCTGGATCATGTTTTCGAGATGGTTTCCATTTTTGCGTTCCTTCTGGAAGACTCTTGAGGGCATTTGCAAGAATACTATGGTAACCCGCAGTTTGAAACTGTGCGCCTCTTCTCGCCCACGACTGATTTTCTAGGAGCAATAATACTTTACATAGCCACTATTAGTATATCTTCGAATAGAAGGAAAGCTCAATCTTACAGGTTTCAGTTCCATCTTCTTCAGGAAAGCACACTAAAGTCACGTGACATAATCTCACACTTATTCCATTCCACCCTTCATCGGAGATGTCTATCGTTTGACACGGCAGCATGAAATCACCAACAACTCCATCATTGGCTTCTGGTGGCGGAGTAATGTTTACCGTAATTTCAGGATGGTCCAGAGCAAAAGTTCGAACTTTCTTCTCATTCCCTGGTTTCGTTGAAAATTTCAGCTTATTCAATTGCACACTCTTTCTCATCGCATGTGAATCAAAAATATCCACATCTATGTTGAAGTGCAACCCAAACACCTGTACATATTCAATCGGTAGCCCTTCCAAAACATACAATTTCCTCTCCTTGCGACGCATTATGGCGCGCTTCAAGTGATTTGCGAGCTCATCTGGGCTCGTAAAGAACTTTCTCGTGAGGCTACCATTTTTATCTTCGGTGAAGCACGATGTGGGTGGTAATTCGACGTTGAAGCGTGGGGGGTTAGGAAGAAATTTGGGATCTGGGGGGCTATCGCCTTCAATCTCGACGGCAATGCGAGCCATTTTGAATGTGGCATTTATCTATTTACTTACGATGCTCATTATGTGGGCTTCTTCACTTTTTATTGATTCTTGCGGTTAAAGGTTGTGCCTGGTGAGAGCAATTGCGCCCCCAAAAAGCCCAGACAACATGGACAGGGGGTTGTGCATTAGCGATGTGCAGCCACCGATATATTTCTCGTTCTACGGAGAAGAGAGAAAGTTTATAACATTCAATCTAGATCAGAACGTATGAGTGCTAACCAATTGCTGTTTAGACAAGAATTCGAGTAACATTTCGTTATTGAATGAAATGGGAAGAAAATTCTGTATATGTCAAGACTTTTGAAGATTGAACTGGGGTGACGAGGGTCCAATTCCGAGTCCAGTATGAACACAGCCCGTAATATCACGAAATAGAGGGAATCTTTTGCGAGAGAAAAACCATCAAGATGACGGGGTAATAACTTGTTACAGTGCATAAAATAGCTAACGATTGTCTATGGAATTAGATTTGTGACTCCTTGACATCTTGCTTTACCTCTGGAATTGGATTCAACATCGTCAGTTCATGTTGATGTACACAAAGATCTCGATAGGTCTGTATCATAAATTCGTATACCGCTCAGGAATTCATCGCCAGAAGCCAGTCATAAATCACAGGAATCATCCTTGAAATCTAATACATTTTTGTTATGTGAAGTCATCTAATTGGCCCTAAACTGGGGGCATAGAGGTATCTGGGTTGCGCTTTGGGATTGTTCCACAGTACCAATGAACCCCATCATGGCCCGTATGCGGATGTGTGTTGGATCTCATGAGCTTGCTTGGCTGCTGTCGATGTCCAATCTCACATACCAACACTTTTAGAATTCTAGCAGCTTTTCCATCATTATCAAAGAGCCTTGTTTGCCCTCTTCAGCCATGGAACCTTCATCTCCAGTCAAGACTCTTACATAAATCCACGCAAATCTTTCAATCCCTGTTCTTATTTCCAATATGGGCACGCCAAAAGCATATCAAATCCTTTCAAAGCCTGTAAAAGATATCATTTTAAGCTCAAAAAATCTTGACAGCAAATTGTATAGCCTTTTACCGTCAACGTGATTAAACCACGTAGTAGTCACTTCAGTCATAAAAAGAGTTCATAGACCACTTAGGCTGGGTTAGGGTACTGGTATGCTCATATTAAAACATCAGAAATGTACATGTCATCGAAAATAGTTAAGAAAACTCTACAAAAGATCCTAATTTTATAGATGAATCGCCAGCAAAGTCTAAAAGACAAAGGTGATCGACAAGATTCTTCAATATGATTGGTGGGAATTGATCATTTATTACTAGTGTGAAATATTAATGATTCACTGCAACTTCTAAAATTAGCGCCTTTTTAGTTGGCGAGATTACATTCAAACTGAAACTCAAACCCGCTCAAATTCACACGATTGATCAAAATTTGGGAAACGAGGGACCCATTCCCTATCAAGTCACTATGGAGTTAAATTGTAAGCATAGAGATATACTCTGAATATCGCAATACAAACGAAAGAATATGAGTCCCACTGAATGCACTCCTGTCATATTGGTCCTACCATTTATTAGTGTTTACTAGGCCCAAACTAAGCGAGACTAAGGAGAAGCTAAAGCGCAGACGACATGTGGTTCAAAATAGAATCTATCTACAAAAATGGTTATGATGCCTCGATAATCGTCGAGTGTTAATTCATATTGCAAAATTGGTCAGAATTCACACACAAGTGACGGATTTCCATCTGAATGACGTATAATGCCTCAAATCTTTATTGACTTCTCGAATTGTGAGAGCTCTTAGTATCTCTTGGCTTCTTAGTATCGAAAGTAAGAGCAGAGATTTCAATATTCGTGACTTAATTTGGGACTTATCCAAAACTAGATCAAACCGTTTGAAGCCGCGTTACCACTTTCAGATTTCCTAAACCCGATTCTGACAACCATTCGCTCATCATGAGCACTCATATCTATTGTAGGTTGTGTAAGAGGAATCTGGCATGTTCTAATATGAACTAAGAGCTCGAAAGAGTTTGCGGGGGTGGAGAAAATTTCGTAGACTACCTGGACTAGTCAGTCTGTTGGAATTCTGGAGTCTACTTACGAAATCCTTCAGTCAACTTCTATATCGAAACACGACCACATATACATCCTACATCGTACACCATAAATCAGATAATCGCCTTATACTTGTCAGATTTCTCAATCAATTATCACTTCAAGTACACCTCATACAAAATCATATTCCATCATCATACATATCACAATAACGCCACGAGTCAGAACCAAGTTCTTTTCTCAACTCAACGTAGTTGTGATATTCACAATCATCATTACCAATTCAAACATCTCTTCGAATATCACGACACTTACATTATATACACCCTATTACTATCGTTATCAGCAATCATTTCATCATCACACATCTAATATATCACAATTACCATTGCCAATATCAAAATATCGCCTTACACTTAACGAGATTTTACAACTATCTCGAATCCACGCCTTTACCGCCACAAATTCGAATAAATCCAACGAAACTACACATCAAGTCATCACAAACCTCGACGTCGTTTCGACATAAAATTCTTCAATTGAAAGCAAAAAGTCACTTACTCCAAACCCCACATCTCATTTCGCAATGGCCGCTTCAATTCTATCGCCTAGACAATCGAGCCGATTGACTTCCCCCCGTGGAGTTTTTCGCTTCCGCGATCTTCCTGGCGAAATCCGCAATAAAATTTACGAGATGGTAACTTGTGACATCGGAGATCCCGAGCCACTTAATGATTTAGACACAATATCTCTCCCTGTGTTTAAGAAGAATTTAAACCCTAATCTATTGCTAACTTGTCGTCAAATCCACGACGAAGCAAAATACATTATGGTGACCAAGAATCTTTTTGTCGAAGTCCAAATATCGGGGGTAGGAAGAAGAATGAATAACGATTTCGAGTCTATGCTTCGTTTATACAGAGTTCCAGTTGTCTATATCAAGAGAGATATAGATCCTGAGAGACCTCCTTTCGATGGCTGTGTCGTAAGATATCGCATATCTTGTGATGAACGAAGCAGTGTATGGGAACGAGACTCGACTGATTCTTTGGTCATATTGCATCGTCACATGAATCAATTTCTCGAAGCTGTCCACCAGACTCAATGGTTTATCTCAACATGCACAAAGATACGTTCGTATCATGTCATCACACTTCAAAACCCTTTTGTCTCCAGGTCCGCACACTTCAGTAACAGTCGCAGTCAATTTTCTATTGAGGCCTTACAGAACAAAGAAGAAGCACTTCTATCTCCATTCTCCACTATCAAGGAAGGCCCAACATATATATCCAAGGACTGGTCTGGATCTTATTTAAGGTTAAACTACAACAATACGAGACGTCTCGCTGTGTCCTCCATCACCAATGAAAGCGTGTTGGAAGACTTAGAAGAAATAATAAGAAAGGGACGAGACCATCACCTTCGAGGTATATACTTGTATGCCGAAGCATTCTACAAGGTTGCCGACTACAAAATTTCAGTTCTGATGAGCTTCTTTCGCAACACGACAGTCACCAGACTTTTTGAAAGGGTAGGACTGGAGCCTGCGGATCAAGTAATCGAAGGAGAAATATTTGAGGATCAACTAGCCGAGATATACTCCACAATATGCTACCATCGTGCACAAAATGCTCTTGCGGATATGCGTCATCTTATAGATAATGGCTTGGGTCAACATTCACGCGATGCGTGTGACATTATTCACAAGATGGCATCACAAGGTCGAGCTCCTTTAGCATTCCTTCGTTTCATACCAAATCCAGAGCGAATTGCAGATCACATATTCATGGAAGCCGTTTCATTCAGGTTATGGGAAGAAGTACGCAAGGGAGACCGATGGAGCATTGATAAGGCTTTGGAGAAGGTAGAATTAGGTCTCGAAATCGCTCCCAATCACCCTGGTTTGAAAGCCGAGAAATATCGTATCGTTCGTCGAAGAGTGGCATTGGTCCTAGATTTTTCTATCGTTTTGAACGTGGTCCATCCTATTGTTCGCCGATAGCTCCTAGTTCTACTATGAGTAGTGTTATTCAACTTAATCCTTAGATTGTTAAGAGAGATGAAAGATTTTCTTTTGGGTCTCGGTTGTAGCATCTGAATGATTCAGCGTTGCAGATGGATGGAGATTTTTTCTTGAGTTATAGAATTCGTATTATCGTGTACTCAAGCCGCTACGATAGATGGTCCTGAATGAGCGAGGACCCTCTTAGCTGATTGATTATATTGCGTTGCAGATGGATGGGTTTACCTTTTTCGGGTTAGCATTTGAATTATTTTGTACTTAATCCGCTACAATAGGTGGTCCTAACTGAGCGAGTGTCCTCTAAGCTGAGAATACTGTATTGCCTATGGATGGGTATACCATTTTTCAGTTACAGCGTTTGAATTATTTTGTACTTATAATCCGCTACAATAGATGGCCCTTAACGAGCGAGGGGCCTCTGAGCTGATTATTGTTTGTTTGTTTCTCGGTGTACAATAGAATAAGAAAAGCATTTTCGCAGACTTTGTGTAATGACCACTATTGAAACAAGTGACCTTCTTCAATGATTCAACCACATGTAATACAGGTTTTATTACACTCTGCTCTAGTTCAGTGTTGCATTCCAACTGTATCAATACAGAATTATACAAAAGATCATAACGGCCGAACTTTACAAGCATAGAATCCTCGATACGGGTTGAGATTATAGTTCGAAAAACTACCATCTACCAACTCCTTATTTCTCACCCCGACGATAATGATACCATGCCGAGCTGAGTCTGTGTTCTGATACGGAAAACAAACCATTCCATCCTTCAACATCTCTGAAAGACAAGAGATTATACCATACATGCATCGATATTGACATTAGGTACCTATCGACAGCAAGATGTATAGAAAATGCACATTTAAAAAATATCAACATATATATGAATCAAGAACGTCAGTATATACACCATCAGCCGATTACCCCGCCCCCTCTCTTTCACCGAACGGTCATGTGATGAGATGATTGGAAGCTGGGAACGATGACTAGAAACTGCACAACTGTATACAAGAAATTAATACGTCGGGTACTGTGAAGGTAGTGATAAGTTAGTCTTCCCCCTCGAAGGGAAAGTACCTCATGAGTTGACTACTTTCAAAAAAGAGGCACATAATTAAGAATTCCCACTGTCCTATTGGTATCTTAGTGCCGGCAGAGCAACGGCAGATATCATCGGATATCCGCAAAGCATCAATAGCTTTGATATTGCAGGACCTACTCGGCGTGGAGGCGCGTCGTAAGGACTCATTAATCTTAACATAAACGCGACGATTGTTCTGTGCGGGAGGCGTGTGGGTTGTAGAACGCCGCGTTCTTAATGCGATATATTATCCCCAAGGATTGCTCGATAATTCCCGTTTTCAAGATATATTTGCAAGTAATTGAGGCAACGATATATTTAGCATGAATTTGTCCCCTTTGGAATATGCTCGTCAAGACATTTTGACTTTGCAAACACCCTGATATGTTTGACTTAGCTTGCAAATTTTGGCAGGAAGCTCTGGAAGACCCTTTCCGAAGTCATGTCGGATGAACCAGCGGTAAGGTTTATATCTACTGACCTTGAGGCTAGACTAAACTAAAATATGGGATGAGCCTCAAAAAATTATCTTACTTTGCTTACATATGAAATTCAGTCAAAGATGGAATAATCTTGGTCGCTGGTACATAGAAACCTCTGATTTCAGTGTCGGTATCCATACGCGCCGTAGTGCTGGTCGAGAAGTTCATGAGTCATGCTATGTATATTTTACCAACGGCTTCATCTTGGCCATCATCTGCAAAGCTAAAGATGCGTTGAGAATAGCGTGTCTTCATAGCTCCGACTCGAATACTCTGCCGTTAGTCAATTTTGATAATGGGTCTCAGGAGAGAGACAAACCTTCACGTCCCTTCTTCCGGTGAAATGATCCACGGACAGAGATATCTTTTTGACGAACACTATGAAAATCCCTATATTCTTCTTCCTTGAGCTGCTCTATAGTGGTAATGACGAGTGCGAGGTGCTTAGAAACGCGATGTTAAGTTGTTAACCAAGGGTTCTCACAAAGTTTTATACGCCAGTCTGAGCTGGGCAGTTGTGTGTTCCCCGTCATGCACGAGTGTGAATTTGACCTATCGGGTTGTCCACTCAAATCCCCGAAAAGCACATGAAGATCATCTTTTTTGACAGTTTGAAGCGATTTGTAGCGATGCGTAAACTACGTTTCAAATGCTAAAATTGGCAGCGGTTTCTGGACGAGGTGGCCATAGAGATGACATCGAACCATCTCATCTGACGAATAGCTAGCTTTGAATTGATCAGAAATAGGATGAACAAGTGCAATGACTATGAAACCGTTAATATTTGGATGCCATAGATGTAGTTGCAACTTACGTGCAAGTTTTCACAGTTCATCGGGACCGAGACTTTGACAAATTTGTATAAGTGATTACACTATTACAGACCCAGATTGAGATTGAAAAATGCACATCACCTCTGATATAATGTTATTGCAACAAGTCTCTTTTTTATTTCCAAGCATTATGTATCAAAATTTTGCCATAGCTTCTATTATTCCCCTCTGTTTTCTGAGTGTATGTCATGGCCAAGCCACCGGTATAGACGTGAGGGATATGATGACAACTATACACCATTCAAAGTATGTCAGGAGACAGCATTTCAAATGAAATGCAAATCGTTGTTTGAGAAAGGATGGAAGTTTTCTCAGTACAGTAACTCTCTCTGACGCGATCACATCTATGGAATGGAAAGCAGTGGACGTAATGATGGATATCTCCTTTTCTGGAGATGTTTCTATCTCAGGACTTATCTGAAATCCCTACACGACCACCCAGCCTCCAAAAGCAGTCCCTTATAACACAACGTCTTCCACCGGAAACTCCTCAACTGGCACTAGCAGTGATTTATCTGGTACTGGGGCTTCTATCGGATCGACTACCCATTGGCCGTTCAATAGTACGATTGCTTCCGGGACGATATCTTTGTCCTTCAACAATGTGTCTTATCCAGTCAATGACAATATTTTGGTCTTGCCAACACAATCTTCCTTCGACTCAAGCAATGGATCTATCATTGTCAAAAGCGCTGCTTTAACATCCACAAGTGATAATGGGGATATGACAGCTGTTTTGTATGTTCCCACCGAGCAAGAAGGGACTATAAGTCCAAAGATTGTACAGCAAAACGTAGCGTTGACTTCGTCTGGTCCCGCCGGAGCGTATATCCTGTATTCAACGGGTACGATAAAGGTAGCTTCCACTGGGACGGTAATTGTCAGAGTTGCTCAAGATGGTTCCTCGAGCCGAACTGTGAAGAGTACCACACTTGCTTCGTACGATTGCGTAGGTCCTCAGAAGGTGGATATAATGTGGCTAGGAAATGAAAGCCCCCACTTTGGCGTTGGACGGATAATAGGTATTCAATCATATAGGTATAGGTACTGAGATGGAAATAATGAATGATAGCACTTAATAACAATTTCGATTGATCAAATGATCGCTAGTTTTGGTGGAAAGAAATGGGTCAATATAGTAAGTAACGCTAATGACATGATGAAATGAGTAACACTTTTGCTGTCGATTTTTTTATTTTCTTTTTCTTCTCCCCCTCAACATCTTGCAATCAACGACTTCATACCATTTTGAAGTCTTTTTACCTACTTGAACTGTCTTGTCGCCACTTTCGACTTCTCTGCCATTAAATCGTTGCTCGCTTCCATTTCCATCACGCTCGTTCCGTTTTTGGATGCGCTCTGTCCTCTCTTATCACGCCACTCTCCAAACTGGTATGATCCAACGTTGTATTTCAACGGTATTCGTCCCGAAACATTCTTTCTTCATCTTTTTCTTCTTGCATCGGGTGTCGGCAGTCAGCATACCGAGTTTTACCTGTCATACCCTCCTACTTTCTTACGCCAAGCTCTTCATTGCTGCAGCCACCGCAAAACCCTTCATTGTGTCATTAGAATCACGTATAGCTCGTATTTTACGTGGTTGATAATCTTCCTCTGGGCATTCAAATCTTTTCAGTTCGCTGGGATCAATCACAAGATGATGGAGGGAAGTCTCAAGCTGCCACGTCGCACCTCACATGCAAGCATAGAGAAAAGCCATGAGATTCCCGTAAAGTGCAATACCTATTGCTTAGGATGCTGTTTCCGAGTAGGCTGAAAGTTCTGTACTCGGGCAGAAAAAATTAGAACCTTTTGGATTGTGTGACAAGCGCCTCTTGTATGAGCTGTGGTCTGACTACTCTCAAGGGTTTCACGACAGCCTTCATCAGCTTTCCAGAAGTCTTGGATGCGATGTAACTGTCGTCACATTTTGTGCATCACGACTGGCCAGGTTTCTTCCATGGAAAGACTTTTGCCAATTTGCATAAAGATTTGCATCACAGCCTCGTTTGTTTTACATTTATCTTACAGGGTTTCACAAAAGCCACATGAATCAATCTTTCAGAAAAGAAACCAGATTACAGACACGCAGGAACAAGGAAATGAATTCCAACGACACTTGGCATCTTCCATTATTAAGCACATATAAATTATCTTAACAGAAATTTCGGTGCCAAAAATGATCCCACAAATGTGCAATTCGCACATCATCATCAGCCAATCCTATTCCCGAGTTCAACCCATGCCAAATGACCCATACCGTCCGTCTCAACCCAGAGAATCGGGTTGTATCTCATGCGCCTATGCTCCGATGCCATAATTCCATTATTTCCCAAAAGAGATAACCCCCACTTGGTTCTGTCGAGAGGATTTCCAAAGCATAAAAATAATCGTCCCCATGTCATTGTGTGTAACTTTATCAGCTTACACTGAGACAAGATGATAGTTCTCTGCTAAAGACAATCTGTAACTTCACACCAACCGCAATAGTCGTGATCGCCATACTGCTCTTCTTTGCAGCATTGCACGCAGCAGTTGTTGACAATGGGAGTAATCTCGATGGCTGCCATTTTGGTGTGATGAAAGCGGTAGATATGGAAAGAAAAAGAGAGGTGTGAATAGGCGTCTCGGTGGTGTGAATGAGATGAAGAGGGAGTTGTTCGGTATGCTGGGATCGATTATTATTTGCTGGTGATATAAGGCTGAAGGTTGGATTGATCGATACAGGAGAGGATCAGGGAGAAACTTTTCAAAGCGGATGATTGAAGCTCATTCTTAGATGAGGATCTGCTTGATATTTATATACTTACATCCAAAGTCAGGCAACAGTAGATCCCTCCGACAGTCTTTGCCCAGATTCTTACGATTATTTGGTTATCGACACCTGCTCGCCAGATATCAAAGTTGCCTGTTTCATTTATTCATTATTATAACGCATGCACGAGAGAAGCAACAGACTAGGGATGCATGTCACAGCCCCGGCACCCATGTCCTGCCCTGCATTCGTTAAGCGGTGAGAAGAGTGAGGCTTCCATCGTCATCAACCCCTCTCCTTTTCTATGCTCCCCCTCTTCGAATATTTCAATTGGATCACAATGTAAATCCTGCCATCGAGATCCACTGTCGAATTTGCTTTGTCTACCTCCCATCTACGCCCACTATCAACACCAGCAATTCTATTTTGAAAGCAAACAAGCGTATTCAATGTACGCCACAAATCAGATGCGAGGGAAGATAACGCAGGGCTTTGATAAAGATCAATCGACGAGCATTTGCTACTAAATATACTCCTCATATGGTTAGTCAATGGGCCGGTCGAAGCAACCCCTTTGACAGCTATGCGGGGCGCCTTCATACCTTGCGTGTACACCTATAATGTGCGCCTACTGGTGCTGAAGTTTTACCTACTTCCTTGGATCTCTTAGCAAGAATTTCAAAGACGCGTCAGTTCTCGTAGAGTCGATGATGCTACTATTGGTAGACATTGAAACGGTACAAGATCCAAGGCATGTCGAAGTTTACTTTTCGGTCTTTCGCAAACAATTCTTTCTCATACTCAAGTTTCTCCGCTTCTATTTTCAGCCCAGAGTATATTGGCTAACCCCTCCTTTCACGCCACTCAATATACAGTTTCGATCTACTAGGGTACGCACCGACTGATATTAAGCTCCTGCCCTACATCTTCCCCACTACAATCTTGAATTTCGCGAAACTTAAATATCACACTTAATTTACGATGCCGGAAGCACATGCATTGCCGCCCTAAGTCCATCTGTACAGACATGTCTGTAGGGCGATACGGAGTAAATCTGTATTAACCTCAGTCACAATAATGAAAAGCATCTAGTGACCGATGATCGCTGGCACAGCTAGCCTCCAACCCTACCATGTTCTCATGTAAATCCATGTTCTAAGTCACACAATCCCTGACTCCTGTGTTTCCTCCCTGTTAATTTGCATCTTAATCATCATCGGCGCGGATTTAACCCCCAACCAACATTTACATAAGCTTCATCAACGTCAACGGGGGGACGCCGGACCAGGCTTCGGCCTGGCCCTTTCCGTCGGGATGCTTCGACTTCCCTTTTGAAAACTCTTGAACTTCATGCCACAAACCGAATCGGGTGCGGGTAGGGGTTGAGCCTCCACGTTGGCCAGGGTTTGACGAAAAATGTCTTACATTCATTTCAGCATTTCCCCTGAACTCTCTGTAAGTACGAGAACTTCTCAGCCAGCCCAAGGAGCGATCATCATTACCAATCAAGTATGATTTATCTTCACAGCTAGAAGCTAGACACTATCACAACATGAGAGTCTTTTGTACAAACTGTTCAGTTTCTTGCGTCTAAAATGAGGATTTTGCTTTCTCCACTTATGTCTTATGGGAATTGCGTTTCTTACTTCTAGATTAGTATATACATACATATGCATTCCTCAGCGCATGCAAAAGAAACTTTCAAGGCTTGATTGCGTAACAAAACTGCATTTGTTGTGTGATTACAATGGATCATTCGTACAACTTCTGTGTTAGGTGAATCCCGATGAAAAGCCAAATTATTCGTCCTATCATCTCGATCATTTTGAACGCTTACGATTCAATACTTCAGCCGAAGTACGAGATTTAGGATGCCATTGAGCTGCTGGCTTGTCCCTGGGCTATACATCACCAGGTATAATGTTCACAAGTTCAGATAGCAATCATTGGGGGTCAGATATAGGATGTAGTATGTGGATCTGGATATGGGACGATTTACTTGACATTCTATGTCAGATACGAGCACTGTAAAAGGATCAAACCACCGGGCCACCGGCTCTAATGTATACAGCATACCACTATGCTTGAATGGCTTGACTAAATAACCTCGAAACATATATCCCTGAAACTTCAATAATCTATCACCTGAAGATTGACAACCGTTATACGGAGCCGACGCAGGTTTCACACTGCTACCCTATATTTCAGTTGAATCTAGCCGAGTATTTGCCGGGAACTTCCTATTACAACAGCCGCAGCTCCTTGAAATTGATATCCCTCCTTTCCCCTTCCTGAAATTGACTGCAAAACAAAGCGCCGCGCTCCCGAGAGAGTCTCGCCCATTGAGTAAACTGCCGTTTTGGTGTCCCAACCCCGGATGAGGTATGGATTGCCAAACTCACTAACTTTCTTTATGGGTTGTTCAATCTATATCACCTATCACTCCACCCCCACAATACAGACACCTTCCATTTATGGCCCAATATCGCCTCTGAATTGTCTCTTAATTGCTTCTAAACATTGCCTATCCCACTCTGATCCATAATTCACAACACTCTCCACTAACACCCCTCAAAGAGTGCCACATAGGTTTCCCCACGATCTTCAAGCACTAGAATCGCTTAAATGAACACATATCCACATTGAGACACTGATATCGCTTGCCTGGTACGTACTAGTATTAGCTTCTGGATTGGCATTCATACTCCAATAAGAAATGCAAACGAAAGCTGAAACGGACGGGCCGAACATCATCTTGTTTAACCGTTCCCACCATAACGTTTCTTCAATCAAAACAACCCGTATGTGCCGACTTAGCTCCGCGTCAAGTAATCACCGTTCAGACCAGGGCTGGATTCTCTATCACATCACGCTTACTATTTACAACATTTCATCACATTTTGCTCTATCCACTTTCCGCGGGGCTGGAATGGGGAAGCTTGTCGTGTAGACAGGCATAATACAATTTCATTTCCATCTTCAATGCACTCCGCATTCTCACTCAGCCAGTTCATCCGTTTTTGTAGAAAGTATCGTCAGCAATACACGATCCATCCGGTCATTGATAGCGATGATCATCTCGGGACGGCTTTCCAGAATATTTTGACCTCCACCAATTTTCAGCTCTGTCTGAGCAATTCGCAAGTACTAGTACCTACCTAGTGAGCCATGACCACCGACCCTCTCACCAAATATATCCCCAAACACCACTCTTCACGCAATATTCAGAAACAAAATACACCAATCTGGCACGCTAGCACGTGCTCTATTGTGACCAACGAACTGCATGCATCAAGTAAGGCTATGCTATGCTATGTTATCGTGGGGGTCCAGCCCATTCCATCCCATCGCTCCAGCCCCGACAAAACAGAAGTTCCCAGCCTTCCACTAACCCTATCCCACGACTCTCGGGCCGCATCCTGCACCTTCCTCTGAAACATTCGCGAGCGACTTTCCGAAAATACGATCCGAGCCTGTCTGTACGAATCAATCGTCGATGCTGCACAATGCTGCACCGCGCCCGCGGAAACGAGGGTCGGAGACGGCAATGATTAATGGTATGTGCGAGGACAGAGGATCCAGAGGCAAATCATCAGATTTGAATCGTAATGCAATACAGAGGCAGAGACGGCGGTATAGACTCGCCAGACCTAGCTAGGTATGTATACGTAAGCGCTGGAGTTCTTAGGTGTTCATATCTACGGATGGGTAATAATTAGATAGACAGGCATGTTCTCCACACTTTGATCGTACCATATCACATGGTATTGCAATCTTACATATCCGCTATCATATCACATCAAGACCCAAGAAAGATGCATGAGGGAGGCGCGGATTTGTGGCACCTTGTCCCATCTTTCCATGGTGTGTGTACTCGGTCTCGTTTTGAATGAATGCCGACCTCAAATTTAGACGAATTCTTCACTCAAATTCGTAATATTCAACGTTTTCAAAATTCAATATCAAAAGAACTAATATAATTTTCTCTTTTATTTCTTTTTTGATAGAATCAGAATCTATTAAAATATAATATATCAAGATTTCAGATCTTTGAATATAATATAAAAGAAATCATAATCTAAAGAAATCAGATTCAAAAAGTGATATTTTAGGCCTTAATTATAAGGAGTTAAAGCCTGAAAATTAGCGAATATTGATTTTTATACTTCTGCTTTTTTAATTTCTTGAATAATTAAAAATTAAAGTAAGATTATTCAATTTTGTAAAGACGAATATAGAATTTGTTTAAATATCTAAAGAAATCTAAAGTTTGATATCTTCAATCTTTATATTTGAATTGATATAGAATTTTGAAATAGGTGACTTTTAATAGTTTTTGGTGTGATATATACTAGTTAAATTGAGGTCGGCATTTATTCAAAACGACACCGAGTATATTGTACTGTGTATGGTACTGAGGCCGATAACGCGCATTTGAACAATACACCAAAAATAGATTTTCGCTTAAATTAAAACCATATTTAGAATTTAGTGGTGTGCTTTTATACAGAAAAAAGTATTCAATTCAGTATATAACCTTAAAGGAATTGATAAAATGAAAAGAAAAGAATTATAACTATTAATTAGAGTTCAAGGAATCGATCGATATAATTACTTTTGAAATATCTCAAAAATTGAAATTTATATCGA